CTCATTCATTGTCCAACTTTCACTTACATATATGGCTACTGAAAAATACCATGATTTGGGTAAGGCATCTTAATCCTGAAAGTAAATTACTTGCTTTTCAACATACAGATCAGTATACAGAGCACTTAGAGTGAAAGGATACAATGTTGATATACATCCTCTCTTGATTTTAAACCATGCAATATTCCCTTATTCTGTTTGAACGACTGCCTGTTGGTGTATGCTCAGGTTCTGCATCAGTGCAATGATGTGTTCCCATTGTTCTCAGTTTATCCATCTTCTATTATGATCCACTCAGTCATTCCCTTTGCATAGTCCATAAAGCACAAGTGAACAGCTTTTTCTAGTATTGTGTATTTTCATCCAAGACTCATCTGATAATATTAGCAATGGCATCTAATTTCTTATCTTCTTTTGAATCTGGTTTAAATTTTCTAACAGTTTTCTTATGGATTGCTGCAACATTTAAAAATTACCATATATACTCGAGTATAAGCCGACCCAAATATCAGCCGAGGCACCTAATTTTAACCACAAAAACTATAAAAATGTGCTGGGAAACTCGGCTCATATACGACTATATACTGTACTTGCAAAATGTCACTTGCTGTGATATTAATGACATCGTTCAGTTACTTTTGTATTTTGTTGCTTCTTTGGAGTGGACCTCGTCCTGGCAATTGGCATGCTTCCAGCACTGCATCAGTTTGCTGAAACATTTTAATTAGAACTCCGTCAATTCCTAGAGTTTTGTTTTTTGCCTATTGAATCCTTCGGTATTGCAGCCAGAGTCTTGTTCTTTCATCTTGAGTTACGCTGATCATGCTCTTCTCTTCATTTTTTAATTCCAAGTCTTTACGTATATAGTAATTAAAATGCTTTGTTTTGTCTTCTGGGGTTGCATTTGGAAATTTGTTTTTCAGCTCTTATTTCATTTCATTCAATCACTGGAGCTTTTCTTGAAAGAGTAAATTACAGAGATTCTCCTGACATCTACCTTGGTCTCTCCCCTCCCCCCTCCCACACACACTTTCTTGCCTTCTTAATGACCCTTTGCTTTCTTTATTGTGACGGTCTTTATGTGTTGTCCCTCAACTTGTCTGGTCCTCACTCCTGAATGCTCATCACGTCAAATCTCTTCTTGAGATGCTCGACTACATTCGGTGAGATATAGTATGACAGTTTTGGCTCCAGTGGCCCTTGGCTGAGATCAAGCTCTTCTTCATTGTCCCCTCCCACAGTTGTAGACTACACCTCCAGTGCCTGATAACCCGAGGAGCGACTCTTTGGCCTGTTCCTAGCCTAGACAGACTTGAATCTACTGCCTGCTCCTCACCACGGATATTTCAGCTTTCTTTACTAACGACCCCCTTTCTGTGTATACTTCCACATATTGATTCTTTTGTAGCAAGTAGACTGTGCTTCCTCCCATCTTACTTCGTTGAGGACTTTTAGTGGTAAAATTTCTTTTTGGTTTTGATTTAGAACAGAACCCAAGAATTCAAGGTTTTTGCCAAGTGAGAGGAGGATGATGGACTACTTCTCTTGTTTGAAGCCCTGTGCTTCTCTTGATGCTTTAAAAAGTTGCATTGACTTTTTGGAAAGACCTATCAAGCCAGCTCAGCTCAGCTATTTGGGTTACATTCCCTGTAAAAGTCATAGCACTTTTAAAATTGGTGGTTTTAAGAAATTATGATAACTCATTTTTAAATACAAGAGGCTTCAAAAAATGTTCACGTAAAAATCTGATTTCCCCCCCCCTCATCTTTGTGTATTGGTTTTTTTCCTTTCAATGTAGTCCTTTTGGCCTGACCTCTTTGAAATTGTGCCTGTCCTGGCTCTCAGTGCATTTTGCACAGGCAGGACCCGTCAAAGATTTCCCTAAAGATGCGCAATAAGCTCTGTGCCTCCTAGCATTTCTCATTCACTGGTACTTCACCAGTGGTGTTCAGTGAGTTCATCAACAGGCTGAATGTCAAGCATCTAGGAACCTACTGGACCTAAACTAGGTGACTTAAAATCACTTAGAGTTGTTTGGTTTGTTCTTACTAACTCATCCATTTTGTTTATCTGTTTGTCCTATTTTTTTTTTCCCCGAGTGTGAAAATAATTTTCCTTGGGAGAGAGAGCTACATGGAGTAGGAAGTAAATAATTCTGCTTTCTTTTTATTGACAGCATCAATAATGTCGATCATTTGTGATCACTTTGCATGGCTGGCCCTGTGTGAAGTATTTTCCGTCCGTTATCTCATTCTCAGTAGTGTCAACACTGCTGTGAAACAGCTTCATCTGGCAAATTACAATTCTAGTGCTAAGAAGATGAAGGTGAAATCACATCCGCAAGGTTACTGGTAGTAAATGCTGCATCTAGGACCCGCACCAATACTTGTGTGACTCTTAAATCTATTTTTGTGCCTTGTAAAAAGGGATTGGTTCCTCCTTTCCCCCCTCCTCCTCCCACCTTCCCCCTACCCTCAGGATATCACTGCTCTCAGTATTGGCCCTGAGGGGTTTATCTGTCCTAGATTCTGTGTCAGCTCTTATCTGTACCAGTGTGCGTGCTCTGGTCTAGCTAGATTTGCAGTGGTTTGTTTTGTTGTATAACAGCAAACTTAAGGTAAACAAATACGCTTTGGAATATAGTTGGGCTTAAATCCTGACTCTACCACTATTTACTTATTTTTTTCTTTGTTTCAGTTTTCTTAACTGTAGCGTGTATAATAATTTATAAGGTGGTGTCAGAATTAGAGGATTTGATGATTGTCATTGTGAGCTGCTGTGGAGTTGGTTTCAACGGGTGACCCCGGGTAACAGAAGGAAACAATTCTGGGCCCTGCCCCATCCTCACGATTGTTGTGTTTAAGGGCATTGTTGAAGTGAGTGTCCACCCATTTCATCAACGATCGACTGCATTTTTGCTGTTCCTCCTATTTACCAGGGGCATTATGAGCTATTTATAGTAAGGGAATCATTAGAATATGGTCTGATCCATAATCAGTTATTAAGTGATTATTGTTTCTGTGAAGAATGCCTTTGTTTTAAATGGGATGTAGGTCAATTAAACACTAATAAATAGTAGACCTATTTTTCCCTCTGAAACCTTTTCATTAAATATTTGACTGTTCGCCTTTGATTTTAGCAGTGGTTTAATGATACAATCAATAATATTCAGAAACGTTTAGATGTTCAGGTTATGGCTTATTTTAGACAATGACAATACTGTGAATAAACTGTGTTGATCAAGTACTGTTCTAAACTCTTTATTAACTACACCATGTTGTAGGAATGAACTTCAAAATTTAAAAAAATCATTGTATGATTTTAAAGGGGCTCGTACGACTCTTATCACAATCCATACATCCATCGTTTGTGTTAAGCACATCTGTACGCTTTTTGCCATCATCATTCTCAAAGCGTTTGCTTTCTACTTGAGCCCTTGGTATCTGCTCCTCATGTTTTCCCCTCCCACCCCACCCCCTCTCCCTCATGAACCTTTGATAATTTACAAATTATTATTTTGTCATATCTTGCACTGTCCGACGAGGTCTCCCTTCACCCACTTTTCTGTTGTTCGTCCCTCAGGAAGGGGGGGATTATATGTAGATTCTTGTAATCGGTTCCCTCTTTTACGCCCCCTACCCTCTACCCTCCTGGTATTGCCACTCACACCACTGGTCTTGAGTCCATCTGTGCTGGATTCCCTGTGTTTCCAGTTCCTATCTGTACCAGTGTACATCTCTGGTCTAGCTAGGTTTGTAAGGTAGAATTGGGATCATAATAGTGGGGGAGGAGGAAGCATTTAAGAACTAGAAGAAAGTTGTATATTTTATCATTGCTATACTACACCCTGACTGGCTCATCGCCTCCCTGCGACCCTTGTGTAAGGTGATGTCCAGTTGCCTACAGATGGGCTTTGGGTCCCCACTCTGCACTTCCCCCCTCATTTACAGTGATATGATTGTTTGTTCTTTGATGCCTGATAGCTGATCCCTTGGACACCTCGTGATCACACGGGCTGGTGTGCTTCCTACATGTGGGCTTTGTTGCTTTTGAGCTAGATGGCCGATTGTTGATCTTCAAGCCTTTAAGACCCCATACACTATATCTTTTGATAGCCAGGCACCATCAGCTTTCTTTACCACATTTGCTTATGCACCCATTTGTCTTCAGTGATCGTGTTGGGAAGGTGAGCACCATGGAATGCGAATTTAATAGAAGAAAGTATTCTTGCATTGAGGAAGTACTTGAGTAGAGGCATAGGAATGATCTTTTAAATCACCATTTCAGCCATGTTCAGTGTTAACTTCCATTATCTTTTCAAATATTAGGTGAGAGAACAATATATTCCATTATATTAGAGCTGATTATTTCATGACAGGGTGCTTATTGTTTCTTTCTTGTTGAGGACAACTAGGTAATGTTTGAGCCTGTGTTTTCTTGTATTTTCCATTACCAACCAGATTCTTGTTGGCTCCATGTTCCCATTGTTGCTTTTTATAATTACTGAGGTGGTCTGCTCATTAAGGTAGATTGAGAATTGTCAGAGGGCTGCTTTCAGGTGTCCAGAGATTCTGTGTCTGAATGGTAATTTTATCATTAGGACATTACCTTGATAAACCTTTCTCAGTAATAACCTGAGGAAAAGGGGGCACAGGGCCCCAGAACCCCCTGAGAGTTGATTGGCTTTGTAGGTATGAGTGCTCTGTGTTGACATTTTGGCATGCATACCTTTTAACATTTGACATGCAAAGATTACTTGGTATTGTAAATTGGCCTGTAGTTTACTTTTTTCACTGAAGAGTTTCAAGTGTACATGTAGAGTGTATGAGCTTTAATATTTACGTAAGGGTAAAGGAAGTGATTTTTAAGAAATTTGGTTAAGTCTAGTATATGATTTTGTGGCTTTGCAAACCCAATAATATGATTTATTTATTTTCTCAGAAATAAGGAAATTAAACTGTAAAAGTGGGTTTTAAGCTCCTTTCTATATTTTCTTTTAGGTGGTATTAAAAATAATCAAGCATTATCAAGAAGAAGGCCAAGGAACTGAAGTTGTCCAAGGAGTGCTTCTGGGCCTGGTTGTAGAAGATCGGCTTGAAATTACCAACTGCTTTCCTTTCCCCCAACACACGGAGGATGATGCAGATTTTGATGAAGGTAAGGGCGTTTATCTCAAGGGTGTCTTTCTTGCCTACACATGGATTGTAATATAATCATTCTAATCTTTGATAATTTCTTGCTAGGATTCTCTGTCAAGACTAGCTTAGGTTCCAAAATTTTTTACTTTCTTCAAAGAATTAGCCAAATTCTATGAATTCAGGATTTATGTCTTAAACTTAACTAGTGTAGCCTTTATTTACCTGAAATTTTTGATTCTGATATGTAATCAGTTGAATAGGCAAACTATTGTGTCCAGCACCTACTCTTTTATACAATTTGAATTTTGACCCCATAAGTGTGTAAGACAGGATGAATTGAACTGCCTACCTCCACAAGAAAGGCTTCTTAATCACTTGAATTTATTTTAGAGGCATTTTATTTTTGTACTTCAGTGTAGTTGCCTTGTTAGCAATGGCCTGTGGTTATAACAAAGGCCAAGGTCAATATCCTAATGTATTTGTTATATATATGTAAATATACAATTACATTATATGTATTATATATATTAATATATAATACATTATATGTATTATATATATTAATGTATTCTAGAATACCTTCTAATTGGCCTCAACTCTCAGATCTCATTTTATGTGCATATGCTTTAACTATCATTTTGTTATTTGTCTTATTCAATGTCACATTCTCATAACTTTGAGTGTGAAATGGATGCAAATTATATTCTCATTGAAGTTAAATTACTGTGGTAGTCATTGTACTTTGCCCTGAAAATCAGTTCTGCATTAGTTTAATACCCCCAGAAACCAACCAAGGCAACTTTCAAGTACTTTTTTTTTTTTTTTTAAATTTTTTAAACATTTTATTAGGGGCTCATACAACTGTTATCCCAATCCATACACACATCAATTGTGTAAAGCGTATTTGTACATCATTTCTCAAAACATTTTCTCTCCATTTAAACCCCCGACATTAGGTCCTCAACTTTTAAGTACTTTTAAGAAAAGCTTTGTGGTTTTTGTTCTCTGCCTTGGTTTTTTTAAATCAGTCATACGTTCTTCTTTAAGTCTGCATTACTATAATACTTACATCACGGGCATGATGATGGTTCAGATTTCCCTGTAGTCCTTCTGGCAATGCTGGGAGAGCTCTATTCTCTGCTCACCAGCCTATCTGGAAGCTTAATGATGGTTCAATAAGAATGTTTCTACAGCTGCAAGACAAAGGATTGTTAATGTAGTTTCTTTGCTTTACAAGCATGGGGTGTGAAGGGTTCACTTGAAAGTGTCTTGCTCAGTTAGCAGGCTCGTGGCGCTAGTGGGAGTAGAATCCATTTCCGAATACTCTACGTTCTATCACATGGTTTCCCTAGGTAATTGATTTTGTTTCATAAAATTTTAAGTGTAGAATATGAACAAGACATACCATTCCGTGAATTCCAGTACCACGAGCAAAACGAATGGTATTATTGACTCTAGGTCTTCATCATGGGAAGCTAACTTCTTTTATGGGTCAGAAATAGTTGACCAAGATGTGATTGGACTAGTGTGGACCCTAAGCTGCCTGTGAAATTGATATAACACCACGCTAAGGAGAGATTTCAGCTTAGTATTATATAATAAATAAAATAGCCGAGCACTGCATGCTGTGAGCTATATGTACACTGCCCTGTAATCCTGTGTTACTCTACATAGTTGGAAGTTTTAGCATACCTATTTTCTAGATCGGGAAACTACTGATGCTTTATGTGGTAAATAACTTATCTAAAATCACACAACTAGGGAATTGACAGAATAACAGTTTGAAATCTGCAGCTGCCATGATTGTTTCACTATACTGTGCTACTTTTAGACACTTCATGAAGTAATGAGCGTGTGTTGTGTATGTCACCATTGCGTGGTATGAGAAATCTGCTTTTTGCACCAACCAACTTGTTTTTCGCTGTGTACCTTCAGTAAGAACTGCACGGGTCCCAGGAGCCTTGGTGGTGCAGTGGTTATGCGGTGGGCTGCTAACTGCAAGGTCAACAGTTCAAAACCACCAACTGCTCCCTGGGAGAAAGGCAGTCCTTTTACTTCCATACAGAGTTACAGACTCAGTGTTACCCTGTCCTATAGGGTCACTGTGAGTCGGCATCAGTTTTGTGGCTGTGAATCTGGGGTTTTGTGTCTATGGGGTGCCATTTTTGTTATATGTGAAAATCTCAATTAATAACCATGTATTTCTTTATAGTTTCAGAAAGAAGATTTGAACTTTATGTTCACTTGCCTAATACATTTTTCCTATCCTTAGTGGAAGGAGCCCTGGTGGTGTATTGGGTTATGCATTGGGCTCCTAACCTAAAGGTCAGCAGTTCAAAACCACCAGCCTCTCCAAGGGAGAAAGATGAGACTTGCAGTCTAGGAAACTTCCAGGGGCAGCTCTACCCCAGTACTCTAGGGTCGCTGGCTGGCAGTCAGAATTGATTTGATGGCAGTGAGTTATCCTTAATGGATATTCACATATAATTACCGTTAGATTCTTATCAACATAGACAAAAAATATAATTTCCCTAACGGTATGTCTTATAACAGTCCTATCTGGAGTGAGTTTGTGTAATGTACTTGGACGCGGAAAGGGACACTGTGTCTGGTCAGGGAGAGGGGTCCGTGAGAAAGAGGGAGGCCCTCCCGCAGGAGACGCACTCACACGGGGACTGCAGCAGTGGGCTCCAGCGGCAGTGAGAGGCTGCAGGGCCGGGCGGTGCTGTGAGCTGTTGTACAGAGGGTCTCTGAGTGAGAGTCTGCTCCATGGCGCTTTACAGCAAACAACAAAGACCTGCTGTTTTGCTTATCCTTTGGGGTTATTTTATACCCACTAACCAATCCTTTCCTTCTGTTGAATGAAGGTTTGCGATATGAGTTGGTTATAGGAATTGGAAACGACTTGACAGCATCAAATAACAAAACAAAGCTATTGTCTATTTAGGGGAAAAATGTTTTCTTTCATGCCGTGCAAGTAAAGCACCACATATTTTATACATTTCTGTTCTTGTTTATATTTGATACTTCGGGTCAAGTGGAAGATTTTTAATCTGTAGTTGAAACACGGAATTTAAGTTTCACATCAGGGACTGGGAAAGTCATCTGTGAGTCAGCCACCTGCTTTTGTAATGAAAATCGTGTTGGACCCCGGTCATGCCATCTGTTGACGTATTTTCCCACGGCCGCATCCTGCTACCGTGTCATGGGGACTAACAGAGTATACTAAACAGTCCCTGTCTGACCTGCAACAAAGTTTGACCACGCTTGTTGGAAATGTCACTTTTCTTCCTCTTGGGTGTTCTCCCTCTCCTGGAAGGTTGAGGATTGGCTAGTTTAGTTCTCTCTGTTCATTGTGAATTGGTGGCTTTATGTTTGTTGTTTATAAATTCTAGGCCTTTAATTTTGGCTGGAACATTGAGTCCATCGTGTATTTAATGGGCACTGAAATGAAAGTATCACTGTTAAAGGGTGTTTGTTTTGCCAGCACCCTTGGAAAGTATCAGAATAGGTAATTTTTTGCCTTAAGTTTTTAAAACCACACACCGAGTAGTTGATGTTCCGGGGAACTGTCTGCACATCACATTGAAAGAAGGCATTAAGGTCAAGGTTGCAGGCTGTCATAGACCTGTGGAAAGAGAAGGGTATGAGGCCCTGTGGTGCGGTGTGAACCCACTCAGGAACCCACTGAGGGAAGACTGGAGATTGGCTCCCGTGAAGACTGTGTTAGGAAGGCACACCCACCCCCCAACCCCCAGGCTGGGCTATGCTGCTTATCGCACCAAGTTGCAGTCAGTCAAAATTAGCGTGACAAAACATAGCAACAAATAAAACCCCAAAACCAACAGATCTGAGGTTCGAACTCACTAGCTGTTTTCAGGAGAGAGACACAACAGTCTATTCCAGAAAGATTCAGTCTTAGAAACCACGTGGGACCTTTTCATTTGCAAGGGGGCTAGGAGTCAGAATTTGACTCATTGACACTGCATTTTGCTTATATGAAGTTTTTCCCTTAGGACATGGGAGTTACTCACAGAGACCTAAAAACAACCAGGGGGACAATTTCCTTCTAAGAGGAACTCGTGTAGTGCTACCTTGGGTTATGCTGGATAGTTTGATGATTCACAGTCTAGAAAACTACTTGGTATGAAGTTTCTCTCATTTGTTTCTCTCCCTTAATTTACACATTGTTTTTACAGATGTGGTAACTCCTGTGAGAGGTTTAAATCTTTGTACACTTTTATAGTTTAAAATTTACTTTCTAGTTGAAAGTGAGTAACTGCTGACATTAGAGAACATATCCTTTTAAAAAAATGAGTAGCAAAACTCATATTAAAATTCCCATTAGGGGGCACTATTATCAAGCTTAGGAGAACAAGAGACTAATTTGTTTTCTCAGACATTCAACCCGAGGCTTGCAAAAGGGAAAAATATTTTCATCTGATAAGATTCAGATACTGTTTTCTACAGCTGAATTCCTCAAATATGTTATAAAGTGCACTGAATTAAACACAGATCCAATAACTCACTGTCTTGTTTTTCAACAAACTAAATCAGTTTAATATTGTAGGTGATATAAGAAGCCTCTTTGATTCAGCAGTAGGGCCAAATCCGTAATTTTTATATTTGAAGTGTACGTACTTTTTGTTTCGCTCTCTTTAAGTTGGTCACAAAGGGCGACCCTTGGCCTTCAAAATAAGTTTATTTCAAAATGAAGTACGAAGACTGTATTGCAGTCAGAAGGGTGAAATGATGCCAGACTGAACGACATACAGATCGAGCATGTGCAGCTGGTGTGACCACCGGAGGGACCCCACCCAGCACACGGTGCCCACGCACACCTCAGCACAGCTTTCAGCGTTCGTGCTCATTTTCCGCAGGAGAAAGTGGCTATTGAAAAATTATTTTCCTTTTTAGTTCCACACGTTTGGTACAAGAGCAGGAAATTCTAGTGTGGGGTGTTCTACACAATTACTTTGCTACCATTAAGCTTTCAAAAGAAAAGCAGCGCTGTAGAAT